AAAAATAAGCAAAAATTTAATAAAAAAATTGAAAAATATTTTAAATCAAGTTACTTCCCGACGTTTCCATTTTTAGTATCCACAATCGTCTTCAGGTGATGACGATTGTGAAAACTAACGATGACGATTGTGGATACTAACAGTCGAAACGTCTTTTTAGAGCATGTTTGTGAATGAAACTGTTTCTACCATTTTTTTCAGTAATCGCTGGACATACTCCTTGGGCTGTCCATTTCATTCAATGCGTCATTGTTGTATTATGGTACATTTTTGCAACATTTTTTTTGAATATCACCAAATTATTCCTAACCCAACCAAAAATTATAACTCTTCAAAATTGATATGGTATCTCTTTCATTTAATGTATCTACACGTCATTGGGGGTGCATACAACTCTACCATCTTTGGAAATCCGCCACATTGAATTTAGAATGACGTCATTTCATTTTCTGTATTCTTTTCAGCAAACCCATATCACATCATGATACCCATATCAAGGAAATGCCTAAAAAAGTACTTCGCCATCTTGGGCGGTCCGCCATATTGGATGTATAATGGCGTCATTTAGCTATCTATGCATTATGATCCAAACTAAACGTGTATGCAAAATTTCAGCTTAATCGTTTGGAAATAATTGCTTGAAAATTCATTAGGTTTTCATCTCCTCAATCGTTGTAAAACGCCGTCCCTTTCACGGGTATCTTTAATTTTGGGAATAGAAAAAAGTCGCAAGGTGCCAAATCTGGTGAAAACGGTGGCCGAGGCATGATTACGGTGTTGTTTTTGGGCCTGGATTTCATCATCACCTCAGTGAATTCTCTGTTATTTCATCTTATTTAGGTTTTAGTTTGTGGAAGATTAAAATCCGAGAAAAGCAGCGGGAAAAATAAGAACTGAACTGATACCTAAAACACATTTACACCTCTGAGGCAGAATTGCCTCATACCAAACTGACTGTATGATTTACAATTTTCTTTTTTTTTTGATAGGAGAATTGGCCCATCAATGATAAAATGAGTGTATCTGCTGGTGAATTACTTGGTAGAACTCATGAAGAGTTAGTGTTGTTGTTGATTCAGTTACGTAGGCAAAGTGCACAAACTTTGCAAGCAATTGAGAATTGTTACAATGAAATTGATTCTATTCAGGTTTGAAAACATTCATTTGCTTCCTTTGTATTACCACGATTAACCTTCTTTCAAATTGACAATTTGGATTGTACGATACGACTGAATTTGCTAAATAATGTAACACAATACTTGGTTTTTTCATATGCGGGTGATTCTCTAGTCGATCACGGCCGTGACCAAATTGTCTCTTTTGTTAATTTCATTCTATAGTAGTTATTGAGATGAAAATTATAAAACCCTAAGATTTCTGGTTTATTGGTGCAGTGTACGTAGTATTTTTGGAATTTCAGGTAGTTATAAAGTTTTTTTTCTTTTCGAACCTTATCTTTTTTTTAAATATTCTGGCTATCGATTTTTGCGAAAAATTGTCGTAAGTTTTTCCATAACAATGCAGGAAATGGTTCAACAAATTCTTGGCTTGATACATAGACCATCCTGCTGATTGGAGGCGCGAACATAATGTACAACCTTGATAGCCTGGAACATCGAAGATAGGTTGGAGATTTGTCCTTCTTCTATAGATACTTTCACGGGAGGCACAGGCACCGCTTTGAGAGCATCTAAAGGGTTTTCTGCAGTGCTTGTGTGTTGTCCTTTAAAAAAATTATATTAAGCAATAAAACGTGAAATGAAAATACGATATAATGAATGAAATAACGAGGTAAAAGATGAAAATGTCNCTTTGAGCCACAATAAACCATCGCGGATTGCGGTGGAGGGTTGAATAGATCCACTCACATTGAACCTAACCTAACGTACTCAATAGTTCATCAGCAAGATGTTGCTTTTTGCACTGACTCTTTTGACATATTCCCATACACAGGTCGCTTCACCATGCTTGAAGTTTATTCTGAAGGGGTCAGAGCTTCAGTGTTATCTCTATAACACCCAAAACAACCTCTTCAAGGATCATGGATTTGCCAGTTTAGCAAATCGTCTGTAATTAAGTATGTCGACTGTGAATATGAAAAATTGTTTCAAAGTCTTGACCTGTTTACAACCTGACCAATTCTTGATCCACTCATGACTGCCTTTCATGTATGATACAATTGAGCATTTAGAGCTACAGTTCAAACTGAAGCAGGTTTAGCATATCACTTGACTTGCGCTACTGGTTGTTAATTTTTATGAGGTGTGTACTCATGGATAATTTCCCCTCTTGGTGACTGGAACAAGATTTAATCATCTAAAGGAACAATTCGTTCAGGCCAGTCTCAACACCCTACACAGTAGGTTAATGGACTGACACCTATCAGAAAACAACTACTCCCCTGGTGAATAACTTCTGTGAAGAATCCTGCACTGACACCTGTCGGATATAATCCAACGCCCTTCGTGGTATTAGCCAGGGGAGTAGTTGTTTTCTGATAGGTGTCAGTCCATTAACCTACTGTGTAGGGTGTTGAGACTGGCCTGAACGAATTGTTCCTTTAGATGATTTGATTTATAGCCAGTCTTCAAGTATGCCCACTGACTATACGTGAAAGGAACAAGATTTGTTTTCTTGGGATTTACATTAGGTTCTTCTGGTCCAGGGCAAATTCAATAAAATAGTGAGGGGACATATAGGTACAGCAGACCCTAAACACTATAAAAATAAACCGATAGATGCTGCCCAAATGCATCTTTGAAAAAACATGGGAGCTGAACGTACGTATAATTTAATGATGAAGCAGGGTGCAATATTTGCTTGTTTGGGAATAGTGAGAGCTATACATCAACATTGGGAACACTCTTGGGCACACAAACTGCTCTGGCAATAAATAATTGAATGAACTGGGCAGGAGAATATTGACCCTATAGGTACAGTCAATATTTTCAGTATACTGCTTCTGAACATTGGCTATATCAATTTGAGCACTTACACCACCTCTAATTCTGGCTTCTCTTCTGACCAAAGAATGGATATAAGTGTAAATTATCCAAAACCACACCGGTATTGGTTTCGTTGAAAAACAGTATTCATTTTCTTCATTGTTTACAAGAGGTAACGTTTTGATATACAGCCAAAGGCGAAACTGCCCTTCAGTGTAAATATTTTCTTCATAGAGGCTTCATAGAGTCAAGAGCATGTAGTGGTGACACTGTGGAACTTAGGTCATTTCCTGGCTAATCGAAGTGATTCAATTTTCAATCTCCACTAGTACAGGACTTGGACAAAATTTGGCTTCAAAATTCTCTTAATCAGTTGCTCTCTTTCAACCTACATTTGGCAAACTCTACACCTACCTATTTTATGCTTGGATCGCTACAAACAATGAATTACTTCATTCATTAATTTTGATACTGAGTGATGTGCTTCCACTAACATTTTCATCACTCGATGCTTTCAATCTATCATTTCTCCGCAATCGATATTTTGTTTAGGTTCAACTACATACCATGGATCAAGCAAGAAGAATGGAGAACTTACAAAAACTGGAACAAATCAAACAGCATTTAATAGAACTTGAAAAGCAGGTATGTAACTCTGAAGAAAAAATCACAAATTTAATTCTTTGTATTTCCTTCGAAAACATCCATCAAAGCATTGAAGCAAAAATTAATATATATTCAGCATTATCTGAAACACTTGCGTGTGTGGGGGGTTCAATTTCCTGGATTCGTATTCTACAAAGTCTGGAATAAAACAATAGTGGTTTCAGATCTTTTGAAATACCTTCATTATTGTCTTATAGGGTTTGATACGTGTTGCGCCATCTTTCTGGGATATCTACATCAATATAAGATTCGGATGATAGTTGTGAAGTTTTTTGAGTTGTTTGATCAGGTTATATTTTTAACATTTTTCATGCTTTTAACTAACGGGTGCAGAAAGAGAACTGTTATTTCACACAAAGTGTTTAGAAACCGTTTTCTAATGAATGAAGTAAATGGAAGAAACCAAATTCCAAAAACAATGCTTTGTTGGACTCAACTATACTCAAAGGATACACCTGAGCATAAGTAAGCATGGACTTCACCCCTTATTTACTGTGTGACATCTGCAGATTATTAAAGAAAGCGATTTCTCATTCAGCGACCGATGTCAAAGCTTAACTTTGCAAGAGACCGCAGTGGGAACGCTGAAATACTAGATGGGCTTAAAAGTTTCGGGCCTAACACATAGATGGCGCTAGTTTTATGGCATTCACCGCCTTTTCAGTTGGTACTATCCTTCAAAAGAAAGCTGTTGAAATTTCATGATATTTTTGATTTTACTTATAAGTTTGTGAGTTGTGGTGCTAAGAGTGACACTACTTCTGATATTTTCAAAACAATGGATCTAAAACAATTTCGTGTTTCAATTTTACACTGCTTCTTGATGGGAAAAATACCGTTCAAACGAAGCAATAACCTACTTTGGAGCAAAAGATAAATCGTTCTACAAAATTGGTATTGAAATGTAAGGGCGGCGCTGAAATAATTGTGTGGCTTTTGATGGGAATGACGTCGATGAATGAAGTCAATTTAGAACAAAAAACAAGTTTTCTTTCTTAGGTCCGGGACTTTTCAGTATAAGTGAGGTTCAAATTTTTTTGTCGATCCCATAGATCGTGAGGGGATTTGTTCATGCTTACTTAGATGCAAGTAAGATCAAGTACTGTCTGATGATAAAATTTGAAAACAATTTCAGTACGAAAAAGGTAAACCTCTGGTAAATCTGGTGGACAACATGGTGAAGCTGGGTTCGCTATACCGTGTACCTACAGACAGAACACACGTCGCCCCCTGCATACGGGACCGACTGGAATTCAACCAACAGATCCAGGAGCGAAGGTTACTAGCCGAAGAGAAAAGAGACTGGAATCGACTGAATCCAAACCACCTCCATCTGCAGGAAAAAGTCCAGCAACTCTACCAGCTGGACAGGCTGATACACGAAGAATCTGGAACCCTTCAGAATCTTCAGCAGGACAAAGAAGACATCGAACGTGCTTTGGGAGGTTTGAGACTGCGTCTTAGCAAAGGGTTAAAGAGTCCAGCCGAAGTTGAACTTGCTCGAAAGCAACAGGTCATGCTGGAAAACGAATTGAGCAGAGTTCACTTGATGTTGGCTCAAAATTCAAAGAAGCTCGAAGAAACTGTAGCTGGAAATGCGAGGCTGGAACAGGAGTTGCTGGTCCTGAAGCAGAAACTGCAGACATCCAGGCAGCAGAGGAGTTCGCAGCAGTATTCGAATCCAGGTGAGATTTATAATAATTATAATTTTTTTTCGACGGTTTTTGGTAGGCAATAATAAGGGGAACCTTCTCGCTTACTGCAAGAGCCTATGCGTGCTGTGGACAATTCGCTGGTCGGCCATTGGTTGGATGAAATCCTTCTGGAAGGACATTCATGGCCATCCGCAGTCACTCACCTCCAGCCCCAGCAGAGGTAGAAGCTTTCTGTAGAGAGCTTCGACAGCCGGAGTTCAATGAACTGCACAACCTAGTAACCCAATATGACGTTCGAAGAGCCTTTGTGGGTTCCAAGAACTGAACACTTGATGGTGGAAAAAACTATCAAGCACCCACCGCCATCTGGTCAGTATTTTCAGCTCGTGGCTGAACGGAGAGCAGCTGATTCCGGATTGGTTTGTCAAAGGGCGGACCTTTCTTATCCTCAAAAGCATAACATGCTTAAATTCAGGTTATGAGTTGTTTACGAGTATCTTATATACGTGAATACTATCCATAGTTGACAAGTATTATGACCGATATAAGAGCAGAGAGGATCAAAGAGAAGAGGTGACTCAATACAGCGACAGGGAGATAAGAGCATTGCTATAACTATACTGTTGACATCCACTTCTTGTAGTTTATCAGGGTTGTGCTGAATATAAAGAATATAGATGATTTATTACAGGTGACAGTTTAACCTGTGCTATGGGTAACAGTGCCATGTTGGAGTCTGACTTACAGAGAGTCCAGAAGAAAATAGGCGATTTGCAAAAACAACGTCAAGAGCTTAGCATTCAAGTCAGGCAACTAACGGATCGTTCAAGCAATGTACCTCAGCAAAAGTCCTCTCCATCTAGTGCAGTACAAAATAGTCCGTGTGAGTATAGCTGTGAATATAATTTTGAAGGGGTCAACTTAAAAAAAATACTTTCAGTATAGTGTTTCACATGAAATAACAACTAAACATATTTTCTAAAGTTGTAATTTCTATACATCCACTGTATTTCAACTGTAGCAATCAAAACGAGTTCATCAACATCATATATTTTCTTGCTTTAAAATCAGAATATCAGAGTACTTGTAGTCGGCCTTGTGATGTCCAGCTCAAGTACATATAACCTCAGAAAGCTGTTTTGTACTTCCTCAATCATTTTGCTCAATTCAGATTTGTGTGAGATGAAGCTAAGACACCGAGATTATGACACCTCAACTCTCTTTCTCAAAAGGTGCTCAAAACATTGTAAATTATCTTTCATTTTTAGGTAACAAGAAGAAAATATCCACGTTGTGGCGGGAAACTGATTTGGATACCATGAATATTGTCGACCATGGTGATTCATGGGACAGTTCTTCGTGTCTCAACGCGTCCACAAGCCCTCTGTACATTAACACTGAATTAAAAGTCGGAGACTCCGACTATTATAACCGTAGCGTAAGGTCTAACGATTCAACCAGCGACAATACATCGGTCAGTTCCAATTTACCTCAAGAAAAACAAGAAATCAAAACGGTCAGGATAGTGAAAAGAGAATCAGAGAGAAGACAACGCGACAGAGAAAAAATGACCCCCGGAAAGTGGGATGCTGTTTTGGAAGAAGACGACTCTTCTCAGACTTCGAGTGTGTTGTTCAGGCCTGCGCCAGTTCAAAAGGTGCAAAGCGCCACGTCACTAGTATCACCCACTCATGAAAAAGAGCAGACTATGCTGGCAAATTCTCACAGTTCTGTTTCAAGTCCCAACCTACCTCAGTTTATCGAAAGGGAAGGAACTTCGAGTACCGACGTTAGTACTGACAAATCTCCGGAATTATCGCCGGTTTTCAAGAGCGAAGCTGCCCGTCAAATCATTACCGAGATGTCAGTTCATGATAATCCCAAGCAAAGTAACAGAAGAGCAGTTCCAAAGGAGAGGCGCAGGCATTACACGGCACCCCACAACCACTTGATAATGAAGAGTTTTAATCAATTGCCGACAGACAATGACGCTTTTAATAAAATGGTTATGAATACCCGTCGGGCTAGAGATGATCTGGACATGGAAAGAGCACTTCGGCAAAGAATAGATGCGCCTGATGTAGTTAGGTCTACGTTGAGCAGCAAGGAACTGAAATATAATGAAAACACCATTGATAATTTGCTGGGAACTCCCAATAAAATCAATATTCCAGAACGATATATTCCAGAACAATTACCTCAGTTGTCGGCCGAAGAACAAGAATATAGGTTAAGGAAAGTCGAGTCAATTAAGAAAATGCTCTCTGATACAGCAATTATTAGTACTAGTTCTACCAACCTAAATTCAGGTGAGTAAATTCATCCTTCTGCTAAGCTGTCGTTTGCAAATATTTTATATTATCAAATATTTCCAAATTTTGAAGATGCCTTGATGCTATGAAGTATTTTGTTTTATAAGAGTTCAGTCAGAACCTGTTTTCAAGAAATGAAATGCATATATAAAAATACAGAAGAATAAGAACTTTATTTAGTAGGACATGTCCTAATATTAATTATACATTGTTTCTAGATACATTGTTTCTAGACTAACAGTAATATAAAAAAATAAAAAAAGACGAATACTTAAAATAAAATAATGCAAAATAAAGTATATAAATTCGTGTGATTGAGATTGAGTATGTTGAAATACATTCTGGAGATTTATAGTGACTAGATTTATAGTGACTGGATATCAAATCATCTAATGGACTGACGCCAATCAGAAAACAACTACTCCCCTGGCTAATACCACGAAGGGATTATATCCGACTGGTGTCAGTGCAGGATTCTTCACTAAAGTTATTCCTGCATATGCTGCAGGAAACCCCGGAAAAACCTGCAGCACCACAACATCATCAGTATTATTTTCATACCGCGATTTTGTAGCTTTTTGGTTGTGAAATTTCATTTGAATCAAGAAAGTAAAATAAGCTACCACAATAATCAAAGTGAGGCCGGATAATGGTGTTATATACTGTAATTTTGGAGTATGTTGAAAGACCGAGAAATTTTTAAGAAGTGAAATTTCTAACGAATTTTTTTACTTATGTAGAAAAAATGTTCATGCAATAATAGGCTACTATCAATTACGATTCTAAGATATTTCAACCGGTTCACGAATTCAATTTTATTGTTATCTATATCTGTTTAAAAAATCTGTTTTTCAGTTAATCAGCTGTCGCCCCCATACGAACGACAACTCTCAAAAATTGAGAAACTTGTGCGAGCTAAGGACTAACGAGGTCTTACCTTTTAACGTGTGATAATACACGTAATACAGATTGAGTTGCTTTGAGTTGATGTTTTTGTATTTGAACGGTATGGTTAGGATAATTGCCTTACATTTTGTTACGTTGAGTTTCATTTTGTTACTGTTGAAATATATTTGTAGTTTTGATAGGGAATCGTTCATTTTGTTGACAGTACCATTCAGATCATTGCCTGAGATTGGCAGTAACGTGCCATCTGCGAATAGATTGAGAAAATCAGTCATGATAGTACTGTATATCATTGATTTAGCATAGGAATAATAAAAGGCCCAAGACACTTCCCTGTGGTACACCAAAGTTATTGCTGTTTTGGGCTGAGAATTTAGTACGTCTATTTACACTCTGAATGTTTCTGACAGCTCTCTTCTGTAAAATAAATACCCTTTGTGCCTCACGTGATAGGCCCCAAGCTACTATACTATATGAGATTGTTGAGTGTAATTGGGCATGATAGTACATGAGTACCACCGACTTATCTATAATTTTACTGAGTTGATAGATACAGTAACATATAGGCGTTATTTTTTTACATATTTCATTAATATGTTGATTCCATTTACAATCTTCAGTGAGAGTAAGTCCTAGAAATTTTATTGAATTCACCTGTTTCATTAAACCGTGCTGTGATTTTAACAGTAAACTGTGAAAATACATTTTCGACTTTGGTGATCTGTTTGTAGGTTAGGTTAGGTTAGGTAGTTCCTGATCCATTTCAATAAAGTACCTTGTGTACCAGGCTTTCAACTTATTAATCAGTATTTGACGATCAGTCATTTCAAAAGATTCAAATCCAAGAAAACCACAACTACACGTGTAAATTGTTGTTGATAGAACTGTTTTATACTTCAGTTACAGGAATACAGGAAACTGTATGTTGTAGAATACTGTACATTTTCATAGAAAGAGACCATTAATACATATTATAATAAATGTGTAACTCGCTATCTGTTTGGTTTCGAATATATAAATGACAACTTTGTCATGAGTGCAATTTCACTAGTTTTTTCCATCTCTACACCAGGTTACGTAACAAACTAAACAGCTGATAGTGTGAACATATCTTCGACACGAGTGTACCAACATAAAAAATCGCTAATCTAATGTACGAAGCGCGCGAAATTTGAACAATTTTTTTGAACAGATCTCGTATTTCAAGATCTGACTGAATTTCAGTTCGAATACATAACAGTTTTTTTCTGCTGCAGATGACAAAGAGGCTGAAAAATCTTCAAGTAGTCTAGCGAATAAAGCGACTACCAAAATGATTGAAGAAAAAAGGCAGAGGGAGCATTTACTACAGCTTAACCAAATCTTGGCGAAACAGGTGATGGAGATGAGTAAAATTGTAGCAGGTAAATTTAGTTCATCTAACATTTCTTCTTGTTGAGCATGCTTTTTTTTTCGTTTGTAATAGTGTGCACTTTTTTATTTTCTTAGGTATCAACAATTCAGACGAGAAAACCTAACGTGGCTTATTTTTTGCTGTTTATTGAAGGTGTGTTTTTATTTTTTTTATTTTTTTTTATAAGATCAATGACGAACTCTTATGGGATTGTGTTAGCGTTATATGTTATTTTTCACTAGAAAAAACAATTATATTTAGTATTCCCATAATAATTCGTCGCCCAATTAACATAAGTAAGTACATTTTAATATCAATTAACCATTGCGACACAATAATGAGATACGGTCATTGGGTTTTGTTACTCTTTTATATGCATTGTTTTTAGAATATAGTGGTTAAATCAGAGTTTGAATTGATGCAAGTGTTGTCTTCAGAAGTGACAATTTAGGATTACTTTTACGTTTTTACAAACGATCATCAGATGGCGCTACAAAAATGTGGCATTAAGATAGTAGTAAATATCTTCGTTTATTAATTTAGAAACAGCTCAGAAATTGACAGCTTAGTTTGATAGCAGCTTAAGGGCTCTTTAATTAACAGTTGCAATTATAATTGTAGTGCAGAAGATGGGTTCAATTCTATATTAAGCAATAATTGATTGTTTGAGTAATTCAACATGAACAGATTCCCACAAAAGTTGTTTGCTCATCATGAAGCATTTAAAAAAATGATTGCTTGTTTTTTCGTGTTCACTAGACTTCACTTCCATTACTTTTTAGAAAATCGAAGAACAGTTAACGCTAACTTCAAATAATAATTAGGAGGAATCGAATTAAAGAGTTATTGCCTGTTTTCTTTTTATTTTATTATGTGAAAACCTTGCAGAAAATATTTTTGATTGATTCTCAGGTATCTGCTGATTCTAGAGTTTATAGCTGGAGTTTGTAGTGCACGAAACGATAACAATATCTGCTCAAACAGTGTTTCACAATCGGATAAATCATGTGATTAATGAAATGCAAAATGTTCAATACTTTCAATTCTAATAAATTCAAATGCATGTCAATCATCAGTTGCTTCAATAATCTTAAAGTATTTTAATTTGCATATTTTAGATAACCTTTCGAAGAAAAATCATTGACAAGATATTGGTATGGAATAGTATGCAGTTTTTTTAAAGTAACAGTTTTGTTTGTGGTGTTCATTAATATTTGTTCAGTTTTTTTTTGTTTAAGATTATATAGATTATATATTATTTGAGGAAAATTTTTAACAGGGATTTGTAGTTTGGCCTGTACTTTGGGCCTTGAAGGTGGTGCTGTAGGTTTTTACTAAATCTGTTCTTTTTCATTTTAATATGTTTTCTATGAATGATTTCAAATCTTTAAATCTGTTTTTACGTTAATCAGCNCCTGAATCGAATGCGATTGGTCGATAAAATCATCGAGAAATGGAATTAAAACTGAAATACAAAAATAAGTTTTTAGATTCTACGAATTCTCGAATATTATGTGTTGCTATTTGAATGCTATGCGTGAGTGAACATTCAACGTTCTCGTTTATTGGTATAAGTAAATCTTTTGAAATCTTGAAAACTCTACGAACCGCAGAATCAATAATTTTTTCTCATTTCCTCGACACTGGTGAGAATTGAATCAACATGATGGTCTAAAGCTGAAGATAGATCATATAAAGTTGATTGAACGATTTTTCATAAGCTTATAGTTGTGAAAATAAAAAGATTGGGCGGTAAAAAGAAGTATAATTGCTCATCCAAAAGTATTTGAGTCTGGATCATTACTCGGTTGCTCTAAAGTTTCTACAATTGTTTTATAAATCTCTTTGGATCTCAAATAAACCATCTCAGTTTCTAGGTTGTTGAATATTACATGATTTATTACTTTTTGCTTCATCGAACATACAAATTTTAAGGAAATGACTTTCTTATGAATGTTTGAACCCACTTTTTAATCGAAAATTCGGGGGGGTTCTGATTTCTGTAACTATTCAAAAAAAGCGACTGTGGATTCATCATCTAAACTAAACCAATACAGGGTGGCTTCCATTGAATTTGTACCACTACATTTCAGAATTATTTCATAATGGCGTAGAATAGTCTTGAAGTCTGCGGGAAAAATTTCGTATTTTCCATCAACCAAGTTAGCGTATGGAATTTTTATTGAATAATAAGCAGTTTTATTTGAAAAATATCTTAAATTGTTACGTTTTTTGCCATGGACTTTCAGACTATGAGAATATACTCTTTAGGAAATGAAATATATAACAGTCCATTACATTGCTCCAATATAAATAAAAATATAAAGCAAAGTACCGTATCCTCATAATAAGGTGATCATTTTATTTATTTATCATTGTTTAATCAGTGAGGTAGCCAGGTTTTTTATTTGTGGCACCTCATATAGCCATGTAGCAAATAAAATTATTGTATGATATTAAATTTTGTTGTACAGTGTTTAGATACTTAGATATTTGAAAATGAATTCCCAGTCAGGCTCTTTACCTGAAGCTCCAACCTATGGCTTACATAAACTGGAGCAGTTGATAACGTATGTCTCTGTAAATTTAATATAATGGAGAGAATTAGACATAATGACAATTCAACATATCTATTATGTGTCCTGGAGATGTGTGCTGATTATTTTTATAATTGTTGAAAATCTGTTGATATACGTCATAATTTCTTGATTAACGATGTTGAATGGGATGTGTTTCCAGTTCGGTGTTACAAATTTTCAATGAATCAATTGATTTCGTCACTAGGTTCATGACATTATTTTTTCATTGCTTATGAACAAATGTCAATCCAGGGTTTTCCGAATTTTGATATTTTAGCTGGTGACAATTTTTTTTAACAAATGACTTTTATTTAAATTACTTTGTTTCAACTAATAACAAGAGCTTTTGTAAAAAATGTATTCATATTACTGTAAAACTATATAGTATTAACAAATAAATATGAAATTCTAAACTGGTGTACTTTTTATTAACCGCATTATAACGTGAGAAACTTGGTTGTTTTTTCATATCAAGCAAATAAGGAAATCTAAACAATGTTGAGCTCTAATTTAATTTGAAAAATGTTCACTGGCCACTTGACCATCATAGTGTATTTCCGTTTTTAAACAAAACTTGGTGCCCCCACAGATTGACTATATAATAATCTCCTGATGACTAAGATTTAGTCATCTCCTGATGATGCTAACTTGGTTAGCGAAACATGAGTTGGGAGACAGTATACCTATACAGTAGGTTGAATGGACTGACGCCTATCAGAAAACAACTACTCTCCTGGCTAATACCACGAAGGGCGTTGGATTATATCCAAAAGGCGTCAGTCCAGGAATTTTCACAGAAAATTTACTGCATATGCAATTGGCAATACAGTTCATTTCCTTAGATTTGTTTACTGCCAGTCTTCAAGCATAACCCACTGACTAATAAGCAAGTTTTTCTTCCTTATTCAGAAGAATCGGGCAAATTTCGGATATGCAGTTGGTTAGTACCTCGTCCACTAGATGGAGTGACATTTTGTTGTTCGCTGCAACTTACGAAGAGGAATGAAATACTCTGAAAGAATTCCGATTTTCAATTGTGGAATATCATTGACTTCAGGTCGATGATGGTCACTATCTTGCACTGATGAGTGGCTAATGAACCCGAAACCGGTCTGCAAGTGTGCCCGTTCCAAAATTGAAGGTCGACTCTTTCAGTTGTATTGCCAATTGCATATGCAGGAAATTTTCTGTGAAGAGAGAACTTTAGGTACCCATTAAATTGAAAAATTTCATTAAAGAAATACAACCGGTATAGAAAGGTCATTTCATTTTTTGAATGATTCACTCATCAAATTCAACCAAATTTGTCCATCCAACAAACAAAGTTACCCAAACAATGATTGATGCGCGATCACCACGTGAATTTGCATCTATTGGACAAAATAAACAAGCCTCTTTAAGCTGGCCAATCAGATTTAGTTGCAGTCGGCTGGCGGAATTCATTCCATTATATCGCTACAGGGGGTCGGAGTGGTGAGTTACGTTTTAACGCCTGTGGTGTGTACATAAACGGAATTTTTAAGTTTAAAATTTAAAAAATGAAAAGTATTGATACGGCTGAAAAAACTGTTAATTTGTGTCTCTACACTCAACCCAATAAATTTTCCTATACCCTTTTTGATTATACTTTCCATGCGATGTGATATGATGTCACTAACCATCTCAACTGTGGTGAAAAAAATATATACATCTGGAAATGTTACAGCCCAAAGAATTCGGTTATGATCGTGCGCCTTGAATGAAATATTTATAATTAGGCGACGTTTTCTGGATTAAGAACATAGGAGAACAGCAATCTAAAAGACATCAATCTTGACATATGACCCTGAAGGACAGAACTATAATTCTTGGGTTTCAGTTCTATGCACTAAACCATGAAACGAACTAAAGTTTCAGACGGATAGCTCTGATGAATAATGTCATGTTGTCATGAAGTAAAAAAAGAAGAAGTAGAGAGTTGATTTAATAATTGACGGATGGATGGGTGTATAAATCATTATTTATATTACCATAAATTAAACGTCATGAGTTCTTTATCTAAATATGTGAAAGTATGAATAATCCTTGATGAGTAATACTACTACGCTCTAATTATGTCTAGCTTTAATAACAACATTCCTTTATCTTTCATTAGTTATAGTACAATTGATCCTATAAATTAATTTCTGTTTATATTTACTGGTATTGTGGAAAACGTATTGTATGATAGTGAAATTGATGAATTCGGTTTTAAGAACGTTAAAAAATGAACTTTTTTTTGGAACTTTCATTCCCAAAATGTTTTTCCCGTTGTACACTGAAGGATGGGTCTGGTGAGAATAGAAAGGAGGAAAATTAATGTTCCCAAATAATATTGTTATCGACCTGATTCTGAACATATATAATGTCTGCCTTCAATGTGAAACCAATTAATGGTTGGATTCATTCCGACAAGTTAATGGCAAAACAAGGAGCAACTTATGCCGTTAGGGTAAGTTCCAAATTGAAATGAAGTTTATTTTGGAAATAGTCTTTTGCCATTTATATCAAGAATAATGAACACCTATAACCTTGTCCTTAATCTTTGATCAAACTTATTACAAAAAAATATCAGTTCCTCATTGTCCCGGACAAAACTCACAGTTGATATACGCATATTGGAAGCAACTTAGCGGAGTAAAATTTCAGCTCTAGTAATTCAATTCTAAAAACTTGTCTAAATAACAAACACAAGGCAAATTAACAAAAAATAGCAAGAACAAGACAGAAAAAAACTAATTTTTGGAAACTTATCAATGGTTTGTCAGAGCTAGATAAATTGAAAGTCTCCGATGAAATAGTTATGTCTAAATTAGGTTGTTGGGTTCCAGACCCTTGATTTAACTGCATATTTAAAGAAAAAACAAGCTTGACATATTTTTGTCTTCCCAACCTATTTCGATCTATGTCTAGATTAGCAAAAGCAAAAATAAAGATTGGAACTAATCTCTGGGGATCACAAGCAATGTTTTTTTGCTTGTTCTATCTCTCGCAGCAACACTCTGGTTCATTGAGAATTCCTGCCCTTGTTGGCATATTTCATTTACTTATTAATTGAACAAATTTTAAACAAACATAAGACATGGGGTGTTAAATTCCTAAACTTGTCAGAGATTAAGTAATTCTTTTTATATTTCTTCAATTCAGGCATAACCTCAGTCAGAGCCTGAATTGAAGCTATGTTTTCACACCTTCTCAGTACAAACATTTGGTTACTTTCTTGTACTTACTATATTAATTGTCAAGTGATGCCAAATCAAAATCTGAAACTCGAAGAAAATTGTATACAATTTTTTAAATCATCGAATTCTTGTACAGATGTGTTGAGTATTCAAATTAATAGCAGAATGAGAGTGATTTGAATACATTGCTGTTGTTGAAAAAAGCACGAGTAACATGCAATTATTTTGTTTCAGTATGTTGGTTGTTTGGAAGTTAAAGTTTCAATGAAAATATTAGACTTCAAAACTAGATCTAATGTGGCAAAGTAAGTATTTTCCACTGTTTTTTTGAGGTGTGATTTACTACAGTGATTCAGCTATTATAAATTTCCTAACAAATCCACAAGTGGAAAAATCCAGAGAGAGAGAAAGTATATGTTTATTGTCCATGAATATAAATAAAATGAATTCAATAGTCGCAATCCTAACAAAGTCGGAAAATATATTTAATGAATAAGGTTACCTTTCCATCCACTTTACATAGGTAAAGGGAGTGTAGTACGAATATGGATTGAAAACATTCAAAATTGTATTCTGTAACGCAGATGGGACTGTACCAAAGCATATGTAACATATAATTTTGGCTGGCTGTTAGCTTAATTCATTTACAACTGTTTTGACAGCAAAACACCCTGATGCTTTTCTTTTTTACTCAACATTTTAAGTACTTTATTTGTTAAACCCTAAGAATTTAGTTATTTTCTAATGAGATGTTCCTCAAGTAATATGTTGAAAAATTTGTGTCACACCAATTTGTGTCACACCAATTCTTGACTTTCATTAGATCAGTATTAATTTTCTATTTGAGTCTTTCGTGATCTGTATAGTACAAAACATCGTCATCGTCTGTCTAGAGAGGAAAATTTTCAAAGACATCTTGACAGTCGATGTCATTTATACCCAATAAAAGAGGGAATAATGTCAAAAATGAATGTGTAATATTTCTAATATTCCAGAGAGTGCATCAACCGAGTATGTGAACACTCAAGATTCAGGAATTTAGATAAAAAACGAAAAGTTGACAAAAAAGTACTGAAATCCATAGCAGATATACCAAATCTGAAATTTTCAGGAACACACGCAAATTTGAATGTGTCTAGTATCAATTTGTCTCTGATATCACTAGATACAAATCATATAATCGCAAGTCATGATATGCCTAATATATCTTTTGCTTCTGGAGGCGATACGGTGAGTACTAGGTACCATATCAATCAATCACTTTATTGTTAAATTAATATCTCTTATTGATAAAGCATAGGTTTGTAGCATGTAATACCATAACATAAATAATAATTATTTGAATAAAACACCATACCATATTTTGGTTTATTTTCATATTTGTAGATGATGAGAATACCCAAAAAAGTTGAAAGAAACCCTCAATTTGATAGTTAGGACCAAACATTATTGTATATTAGCTTATGCTAAATAAAGGAAATTAATTTCTCGATATAAATACAATAATTTTCATGATATCAATACCTTTTATTACATAAATTGTTTTCATTCTTCATTATAAATATGTATCATTTTATCATTCCTTTTTAAATTTTTAGGACACAATGGATTTTGTAGGTTACATAGCAAAAGATGTCAACGAACTCCGAGCTTGTTATGTTTTGGAATGTATCGGTGGTCTAGCCAAAGATGTAATATCAACGATAGGCCAGGCATTTGAATTGAGGTTTCAGCAATTCACGAGTAAATCACCTGTTGCGTAAGTACAACACAATCATAAAAATGTGTGTTAGTCCAAATAGATACAATAAAGTCTTAATGAAGAAAAGAGAAATGAAACTTTCTATGTTTTGACCACTTTAATTTGTAACTAACGTATAAGACGAAACTGCAGTAACTTTAGTTAAAAACATGAGAAAGTTTCATTTCTTTTCTTCATTATGATTTCCTCCACGTAGTAACGGCTACATCCATCAATTTATTACAATAAAGTCTCCTTATTGTGAATATGGCGACGTTAACTGGACTTTTTTCAGGAGTGTCTTCATAGCTCTCATGTCAAGTCACATATAACTATCGATTTTCAAATTATTATTCCCCATCAACACAGAGATATCACCAGATATGCTAAGGACATTTTATCATCAGAAATGGCCCTAAGAAAATGGTTGGGGATGAGTGAAAAATCACTATACTTTTCACATGACCACAACATAACAAAATAATGTTTTCAAAACATTGAAGAAGTTTTTTATGAAGTGTTTTGTGTAGACTTATAAAGTGTCAAATTTTTTCCTTGATTTGAGTCTTACAAGATGTGGATGAATGAAGCTAAGCCTGGAGTTATGCTAATTAAATTCATCTATATATTGCGAATCTGATTATAACACATCAAGCCTGTGCATAATACAAAAAACAATATGTACGTTTCTGTGGATTTTAGAGAAATCGCCTAAGAGGATCATTTCCTATCATCGACATATATTTTTCTCATTCATGTACTTAATTTGTTTGATCAGTGAATAAATAATAATAATAATAATACTTTTATTGCAAAGCGATCATCACAGAACGCAGCAAACGTCAGGGTCAGGTTTAAAAACAAGTTAAAATGTATTGATGGATGTAGCCGTTACTACGTGGTAGGAAATCATGATGGAGATAAGAGAATTGAAACTTTCTATGTTTTTTACCACAGTTAAAATGTATTTACAATATCAATAAATCATGGGGGATGAAAATATTTGAATATCGAGGCTCGGTGCAAATCTTGAAAGATAAAAACAGTATTGGAATACAAAGACAAAGATTTAAAAATACAGTCCATTCATTATTATTATGATTCGAGAGTTGGGCTGCTGGTGGTTGAAAATTTCCATAAAGAATGCAAGAATAGATTAGATCTAAACACAATTTGCCATTTTCAGACTGGGGACAGCATTGGGTCATTCCTCATTCTCTCAAGGTGGTGATGCTGATAAAGACTATTACAATGACCTGCCAGGGAAGGTTCCCCCAGATGTTTGTGAACCTCCACCTGTCCCACCTCTGCCATCTCTTGTTCCGCCATTCACCACTTTGCCACCAGTACAAACCTCAAATTTGATAGACCTCAGTACTGACATCATGCCTCATGATGTACCCCACCACGACTATGTCAATGGTAGTGTAGTGATGCCTAGAGAAAGGGATGTATTTGATATGCGTAAGTAGTAAAACCCTCAAGTTATTGCTTTTCATATCCGAAGATATCCGTGTTTTCAAAAACCGAAAGTCTGCACCAAGTCACAGTTATGTCTATGTAATATATAGATATATTTACATACTGGGTGTCAAAAAATTTATTAGATCAATACTAATTCCTAGAAAATTAGGAATATCAAAAAATGGAATGTGGTATTTACAGGGTGTACTACATTCTTCTGTGAATTCTATCGTCTTCAGAAAGTCACAGTTTCTTCTAATCATTTCCATCATCCAATTGCAAAATTCAAGACGATTCGGAAAGTCTCGCGGTAACAGTGCCTGTACTCGTTGCAGATGGTAAGGGTATAAGAGTTGTTCCTTTAAAATTCGAAATACCGTCATATGATCAACATTTAGCTGGAAAGCAATCTTTCTAGTACTGGTAGTAGATTGTTCTTCAGTCAAATTAAGTACTGCTTTGTATAAGAAAATGGTTTGCGAAGAGGAGAGTTTTCACATATTTTTCACCTTCCTCACTTCTGCTATCAAGATTTGTATCTTCTTTATTTTCTATATAACTGTTGCTAGACCTAATTTTTTATCCAGATATTATTTTGTAGTATTGAGAAGTGAAGTAATTTTTTTCAGAACCTTTCACCCACCATTCGACTGCGATGTACAGCAAAAATGATGGTGATCCTATAGCTCAACTGGAAAGTGAGGTATGGTTCCACGGTCAGATCAGTCGCGCTGAAGCTGAAAGTTTACTTCAAAAAGATGGCGACTTTCTTGTGCGAGAATCGACAAACACTATGGAAAGGCAATTCGTTCTGTCAGGAATGCAAGACAATAACAAAAAGCACTTATTACTGATTGATCCTGAAGGAGTGGTAAGTAACATGTATTGTAGATACACTGTTTTCGTTCTGTGTAGTAAGAAACATTTTGGAGAATTCCGAATATATTATTGATTGTATTTCAGTTAGAAATATGAACTTCTATGTGAATTATATCTCATTTACGGTATATAAGAGAGACATATCTTTTGAACCAAAATAATATACATTCCACATTCTGAGGTTCATCTCCTTTGACAATAACCATTATGTAACAAAAAAAATATTCAGATTTGAAGGCATAAATTATGAAAGTGTGGTATAACATGTCAAAACCTAATGACAATGAATATTAAAACAGTTCCTTAGGTGAAACTTCTGTTGAAGAACTATAATTTTCTCTTTGAATTTCTAAATCCATAGCTTCAACTTTTCACTCACTTTTCCGAGCATAATATTTCCTTTTTTTTTCCAGGTCAGAACGAAGAACAGAACATTCAACAGTGTGAGCCATTTGATTCAGTTTCACTACGAGAATTCTTTGCCTATCATAGTCTCGGCAGAGAGTGCTCTGGTCTTGAGAAATAAAATTCCAAGAGCTTCATAAATTGTTTCTTATACATTCGCAAGCTTGCACCCAAGCGTTTCAGGGATATTTTTATAAAATTTTCAAGCCATGGTGTTAGGAAAACTGCATGTAAAAGCAAGAATGCAAGTGATAATATGAGTTAGACGTTTTGAAATGAGTTGCTGTGATGGACTTTGAGAAATCTCATCGGCTTAGTTCTACAAATTACCGCTTTGTTTTGGGCCTATCGAAACACTGTCAGTGCAATCTGATAATGGATCACAGACTGATTACTTTTAATGACCACAAATTGATGAAGTTATACATTTGTACCTAAATATTTAAATGGATACATTTTGTAAGACATCTGTAACCCTTCTATCTGCTTATTTAGAGATTATTTCATGGCATGGGTTGATATAGAATATTATGAAATTTTTAAATTATGTATTGATATAATTCTTGTAGGTTTTTCTGAATTCACGTACACAAAAACTTACGGGAACTTGCTAATTTTGAACCGATGTTACTGGATAGTTCTTTCTAGCTAGATTATATTTGCGGTAATTCTGAGATATTTAATTTTTTTCGTCATACGAAATTCGAATAAGACAATGTGATAACTATTATTTTTATAATTTTAGATAATATGTATTGAATCATTTTTTTGGGCTTTTTTTTGCCAATAATAATTTTGTATGTAATTT